CCTTAAGTATAGACAAACTAATGACCTGTCAAAGTTTACCAAAAATCGACCTGAGTGACGAGTTTGTCATTTTGTTTAGAAAACAATCAAACTATTAGAGATATTCGAATACGTGAAGGTATCTTTATAGTATTTATTAAACGATGGGAAAAAGTTAAAAAGGTGTAGGAAAAAGACTGGCGCCAGCAGAGGGTGTCAAACACGCGACCTGCGACGGCAGGCAAAAACACTAGTTTCCGCCACTGCGGGTTCTAGGCTTCGTAACTCGAGAACAAAAAACCTGGAGAACATGCGGTTTGGGCCCTCCTTCATTTGAGAAATGCCCCAAAACACATATTTTTTTTTTTGTGAAAATTAAAAATTAGACCCTTTTAGTCTGCCCGATTTGAAATGAAACCTCCCATATCGGGCAGGCTGAAAGGGTTCAGTTTTTAATTTTCACGAAAACAATATGTTTTAGGGGCATTTCTCAAATGAATGAGAGCGCAAACCGCATGTTCTTCAGGTTTTTTGTTCTCGAGTTACGAAGCCTAGAACCCGCAGTGGCGGAAACTAGTGTTTTTGCCTGCCGTCGCAGGTCGCGTGTTTGACACCCTCTGCTGACGCCAGTCTTTTTCCTATACCTTTTTAACTTTTCCCCATCGTTTAATAAATACTATAAAGATAACTTCACGTATTCGGATATCTCTAATAGTTTGATTGTTTTCTAAACAAAATGACAAACTCGTCACTCAGGTCGATTTTTGGTAAACTTTGACAGGTCATTCGTTTGTCTATACTTAAGGTACAGTTTATTTCTTGGGTTCTATAGAAAGCCCTAAGCATGCCTATTATAGATATAGTAATATCATTATGATTTGCTGAGTAGCCGCTCTGCTACCTTCACGTAAACGTTGTGAAAAATAATAAATGTTCACACATTTCACGTGATTGCGGCTCAAATAGAGGACATACAACCAAAATATTACAGTTTTAGGCTGTCTTTTCTTGTAGTCGACTAAAATGTATAAAAGAATTTTAAAAAATAAAAATTTACAAAAATGGGGTTTTCAGAAAAGCGACCTCAAACTTTCAACATTTGTTATTTCTTACAACGTTTACGTGAAGGTAGCGGAGCGGCTAGTCGACAGATCATAATGATATTATTATATCTATAATGGGCTTGCATTGGGCTTTTTGCAGAACCAAAGAAAGAAAATTTACCTTAAGTACAGACAAAGTAATGACCTGTCAAAGTTGACCAAAAAGCGACCGCAGTGTCGAGTTTTACATGTATTTTAGAAAACAATCAAATTCCTAAAAATATTTGAATACGTCAAGGTATCTTTATAATACCTATTAAATGAGGGGGAAAAGTTAAAAATGTGTAGAAAAATACTGGCGCCAGCAGAGGGTGTCAAACACGCGACCTGCGACGGCAGGCAAAAACACTGTTTCTGCCACTGCGGCTTCTACGGCTCGTAACTCGAGAACAAAATATCTGGGGAACATGCAGTTTGCGCCCTCCTTCATTTGAGAAATGCCCCCAAAACATATATTTTTTTCGTGAAAATTAAAAATTAGACCCTTTTAGCCTGCCCGATTTGAAAAGAAAACACACACACACACACATATATATATATAAGCACCGCCATTCCTAATTGAAATGTAAGCAGGGGGATTACAATAAGGCAGTAGCGTAGCAAGGGTTCCCTTTTTTTATGGTGGGAATTGGGGTGTGTGTAAGGGGGAGGTGCTGGGATAATTGATATATTTGGACTTAGGCAGTGGGTTGAGGGGGGGAGGTGCGTTATGCATATGTGAATAATGCCAGATACATTTTGTTTTGGGGAGGGGCAGTTAGAACATCACAACCCCCCCCCCCCCCTTTCTGCCCCTGGCTACGCCCTTGAAATGAAAAGTATTGTATTATCCGGGCAGTAGTCCGCACTCGGTGTATAACCCGCAAAAACCAAAATTGGCCGATATTTTTTTATATAGTCCGCACGTTGTGCTTAGTCGACCCGAAAATCTTTTGGTACACGACACGCCCTGACAAATGTCTGCTTTCTTAGCTCACAAAGACGCTTGTAATATACATAAATCATTATCAACATACTCTTTCATTCACACAATCCGTCACGCCTCTTCGTAATAAATGGCTTCGAAAATCAATATTTCTGTATGCTTTTAAACTTTTAAACATGTATAATCCGCGGAGTATAGCCCGGAAAAAAAGTATATAACAGGCTGACGAAAAACATTTATGCGAAGTGTAGGATTCTAAAATATACCACAACATACGATCCGTAACAGATCAGTTAATTAATTAACGAATCATTTCAGTTGAGTGGCACCAGTAGGTCTATAGAACAATAGTCATTAACTTATTTGTTTTAAAGCGAGAGCTTTGTAGGCCCGACCACGCTCAAGTTCACGTCCTCATAGTCATGTCCTCAAGGTGGCGTAATCAAGGTCACGTCATGCCCGTGGCTGTAGTGCAAGGTCGCGTAATCAAGGTCACGTAAGCGCCGATTCCGTAGACTCCGTTCGTGTAAGCTCGTAAGCATCGGTAGCTGAGGCTGACGTGACCTGACCAGAGGTCGGCATTTTAGGTCACCCTCACTCACCTTCACCCTCACAGCCACACTCACCTAAGCCCCTCACTCATCCTCACCCTCACAGTCACACTCACCTTCAGCCCTTCACTGACCCTCACTGAACCTCACGGCCCTCACGCACTCACCGCCCTCACGGCCCTCACGCCCCTCACGGCCCTCATGGCCCTCACGCCCCTCACTCACTCATTGCCCTCACGCCACTCACAGCCCTCACGCCACTCACTGCCCTCACGGCCCTCACCGCCCTCACCGCCCTCACGGTCCTCACCGCCCTCATGGCCCTCACGGCCCTCACGCACTCATAGCCCTCACGCCACTCACCGCCCTCACCGCCCTCACGGCCCTCACCGCCCTCACGGCCCTCATCGCCCTCACCGCCCTCACCGCGCTCACGCCACTAACCGCCCTCACGCCACTCACCGCCCTCACGCCCCTCACGCACTGATGGCCCTCACGCCACTCAGGCCAGCTTCAGATGGGGCAATTTCGCCCAGAAACTTTACGTCGCAACACCAGCAACACGGGCCGCCCGCGATCACACGCAGCAACCAATTGCTGCAATTTGCCATCGTCATCATAAAATTTTATTTTTCTTGCACTATGTAGACACAATTACGCGTTATAAACGTGTTTTTATGCACTTAAAACTCATTAAGAATACTAATGCACCTTTCTGAAACAGTTTATTTCCAAAAAACGATCGATTTCAAACCAGAACCAAGTCTTTCGGTGTCATCATCACCGGCAGGAGGCATCACGTGAAAATTTTGCGTCCCTGATTGGATGCAGCCACTTCAAACGTATTCGAATTGCTCCGAGTTGCTTGCTTATCTCGAGCCGGACCCGATCTCAGCTATTCGTGTCGATCTAGGGAAAGCTAGAGAACGACCCGCCATTAACACCAAAATTGCTGAGAAAGATGCTCGATCTGAAGAAGGCTTCACGCACTCACCGCCCTCACGCACTCATGGCCCTCACAGACCTCATGCACTTACCGCCCTCACAGCCCTCACGGCCCTCACTCACTCTCACACTCATGAACTTCCCTGGTTCAGAAACTCACTCATTCTCACCTCACCTGTGAAGATGAGGGTGAGTGAGGGTGAGTGAGGGCCCTCATGAGTGAGGTTTGCCGAGGTATGGACCTGACGGCCTTAACATCGTCCTCGACGTCGTCCTAGAGGTCGTCTTTTAGGTCGTCCTAGACGTCGTCCTCTGGGACGTCATTCTCGACGTCGTCGCCAACGCCGTTAGTGACGCCATCCTGACGTCGTCTTAGACGGCGTCCTTGAGGTCGTCCTTGGCGTCGTCCTTTACGTCGTATTTGTGGTCGTCCTAGAAGTTGTCTTAGACGTCATTTTTGAGTTCATCCTAGAGGTAGTCCTCGACACCGTCATTTACGTCGTTCTAGAGGTCGTCGTTGACGCCGTCCTCGACGTCGTCGTCAACGCCGTCCTTCACGACGCAGGACGTCCTCGACGTGAAGGACGGTGTCCTCGAGGGCGTCCTAAATGTCCTTAGACGGCGTCCTCAAGGTCGTTCTAACTGTCTTAAAGGTCTACCTTGACGTTGTCCTTGTGGTCGTCCTATAAGTCGTCCTAGGCGTCATTCTGGACGTCGTCTTAGAGATTGTTCTCGGTACCGTCCTTGATGTCGTCTTCGACGTGTGCACGGCATATTACAACCATTTTCATTCATTTATTTTATTTACTCCCATAATATAAAATGGGCGATGGAGGTAGGAGAAAAAGCCACAGAAATGCAGCTCGACAAAGCCCCTGCCCCTACAGGCAGGTCGGTCAGCAGGATATAATTACACTATTTGAAACAGAAAAAGCGACATATATACACCTTTTCCACAACGGCTCAGCCATTCTGAATGTCGTCACGTCTGGTATGCGGCAAAACATCGTTTTGATACCTCCTCGCCACTGAAAGCTGTCTCCGAAAAATGTATGATTGTCACGCATTCTTGCTTTGCCTCACCTATATGGTCTGGCATATTCCAGGTTGAAGTGTTCCACTTCTTTTTCGTCCCGCATACCAGATACGGAACCCACATGATAGAGAACGACAGGAAACAGAAAATGTCTATACACCACATCGAGAGATAAGTTATTATTAGGAGGATAATATTTCGCGCCATGTCTTCTGATTTAAATTTTTGATGCACACACTTTGTTCCTTGAGAAAAGAACAAGATGTCTCTATTTCATCACCATACCAGGAAAGGAGAAGGTATGGCATTTCATTACCATACCATCTACTTTTCTAATTATTTTCACTAACGAAGTTCCTGTAAAGTTACTTCATTTCATCGCGTTTGGTCGAATGAACGCACTGTAATTTTCATTTTGCAATTTTGTTGGCGGTGCTGATAGAAAATAATATTCCTTCCAGGCCTTTTACGGCAAGTTCCTGCCCCTGTTCATCCTGGGTGGCATGTCCTGCGTGTCGTCGCTGCTGACGTTCCCGCTGCCCGAGACGAACAACCAGAGACTTCCCGAAACGCTCGAAGAAGGCGAGGACATGCGCAAGCTGCCCAAGCCGTGGTTCCCCTGCCTCGTCAAGGAGACGGCCAGGGAGAGGCGAGGCACGGGGACTCGTGGCCGCAGCATGTCCACCCTCTCGGCTGCCACCATCGACAGCGTCAGTCCTCATTAGCGACCGCCTCAGATGTTGCGTTCTCCCACGGCGGAAGACTCCTTGGTCCCGATGATATATACGGCTTCAGCCGCCCACTGTTTCTGAGGAGCAGTTCCGTGCTAACGGACCTTGTCCCAATAGGAAGCAGCGCACAAACCACGGGACGAACAAAACACAAGCGCTCGTGTGTTGTGAAGACCATGCAGTACATACTAAAGTTATAACTATGGCACAACTGGAAAGGATAATGCCATTAAGAGACAACTGACAAGTAGTTTGTTCACTCTGTGATACTTATCCGTTGTGTATAGGCGCAGCCATCCTTTCCTGATGTATGTAATTTTTTCACTGGTCGTTTGAGCCGAGTGCTGTTTGGTGTTGAATTGTATGCATCAATTCATCAATCTTGCATCAATCACACCCTTCCACTTTTTTTAAATAATGTTTTATTTGTACTATCTACCAGAAATCTAGATTTGACGTAAGCTAAGGTATGAAGATGACCGCCTTTTACGGCTTCTTTTGGGATCTCCGCGATAGATCAGCTCGTCGATGGATATAGATTCAAGGATCAAGCCATTCTAACAAGAATTCCGCTATGTCCAACTTACCAAATCAGCTTAGTTACCTTCCATCTTTAAAACGCTCAGGTGGATGATCACGATAAGCCATACACATACTTCTACTTCTATTAATTGCACCATCCAATTATTTTAGGCTGCTGTTCCACGGAGGCCATGTTGAACATGCGGGTTTCGATTCTTATTCATAGAAAAATTATGTTCAGTAATATTAAAAAAAAGAAAATGCTTATAGCGGAATAATGTAACGAAAGCAAGGGTGCACACGAGCTGGTTCAATACTGGCATAGTAACCCTGGAGCCGGGGAAAAGAAGGGACGTAGATCTCCGCGATTGGTGGAATGTTAGTCTGCATTGAAATAGTCGTATATGACTCCGCGGTAGAGGAAAAATTCGGACAGTGAGCGTTTAAAGTCGAAAGCCTGTCTTGTCTGTTTGTCTTAAATGTTCCTCTTTCCTTATCGTAAATTAATAACCAACACGCTCAACATTCTACACTACGTGACTACTAACTTGAATCTTTAACGCAAATCATGCAGCAGCAAGTGCACGAAGGTCCAATGTCCGTCCACGTTGAAACTGGCACTTGGATAAATTAATTCCGAAATCTTTCAGTCTGTACGCGTCCCACGTTCCGCCGAGCATCTATGGCGACCGATACCGCCTTGATAAAGAAAAAGGCGCAATCAATTTCTTTGTGTCTTTGTTTTGCACGTCATCTTTCTTTTATTGTCACAATGTTCCGAGCTGTACGAACAACAAATCGTGAAAATATAAAAGGGAGGTAGGGAAACCACTTTACAATATTTGAAGCACGATCGTTCGTTTAGGTTCTACCTTTTAATTGTAACTTCCCATTTCTGACCAACTATTGTTAACATGACGGCGTAGTAGTTACAACTCAGTATTTAATTTTCCTGCCTTTGGTTACAAACTTTAAAAACCCTGAAAACGAGCTAAGGTTTGAACAAGTGGTAATTCCAAGAGGGATACGCGTATTTAATTTCGTTTTTGTTTAGTAATTACAAATAAATTTTCATGTTCACGGTGGTATTCGTGAAACTGCTGCAGGTAAGGTCGTAACCCTGTGCCATACTTTGTAGTCGATGCTAGAAGATCTCACTAGAACATATTTATTAAAGTTAAAGTTTCGATATTAGGTAGAAGTATAGCGAAGGCTTGATAAACTCCAGCTGCAAAATGTGAATAGCACATATTTTGTGCACTAGAAGAGCAAGTTTATTGTGATTGTTTCACTATTCTAACGTTTTGTTTGCTTGACGATTATTAAAGTGGTAGCATGTAAACATAGTTTGATAAATCATACTGTTCACTGCAGCATTTAAGGGTTATACTTTACTTGGCCCCGTCGGCGTTGAGGGCAGCATTCGCCTTAGGTTCAATTGAACTGGTATTCTTCGACCATACGACCTGAAAGAGAAATTCCTCATTTCTTTGGTTAATGTAAAATGCAATAACAAAAGTTTCGTTTTAGCATGATCACGCTATGACGTTCTTACCTTAATATTTAATAAAAGTTGTAAAGCTCAATTGACAAGATGTCAATTATTCTTGAAAAAAAAACGGGAAAAAAGTTAAATTAAGATATCTTCAATTTAAATGATCCCCCTTCACTGAATGTTAAGTTTTAAAGAGACGGTGCAACGTGTTTTTTTTTCTTTACTTTTAATGAATAACGCTTAAAAGTTATCATTAACGGACATAGCCACCCAAAACACGCATTTATTTTTCTCTACGCAAAATGGCAGTTGCAGCAAATTTTAGAGATGAACGAGCAGCATTCATCTTAATTAATTCTGAACTCGCAGCCCCGCAGGGGTTGGCGAAGCACCGGTCACGTTCTTAGTTCCAGACATCGTTAGAGTCCGGCTGGTATCGTCACCAGAGCGATTGGACACGAGCCACTACCCGATGTCTCGTCGAGGCATTGATTGTCACAAGCCCAAATTGAGTGCTCATGCAGTGTTCACGTCCACTCTATTATCAAAATTTGATAGTCGTCACCTCGTGCCACGTGCCTACGTCAGCAGTGCGATCCCGCAACTTCGTCATTAAGTTTCGCGAAGGAGAGACTGGAAGAAAAGGTCAGATTTTTATTATTGAAGTTACAGCGCGAAAAGGAATTAAGCTTCTTGGTCAGTGGCGTCGCGTACGAGTATACCTGGGTCCCACTGTAGTCTGCTGCAAGATGAGATGAAGGGAGGCCCCTTTCACAAAGATCCATAATCTTCGCGATTGGTGGTTTTCTCCTCTTCATTCGCATCCCATCCTGCGTTCGCTCTACGAAGATGGAGAGGGTGAAGGACTCCTTGGGAGGAGCGATCATCCTGCTACTCTTAGCTTGCAATAGACTATGGTACAAGTAAGCTTTTGTAAAGTGAGGAGCATTCCAACCCAATACCGTCCTATGACCCTTTTAACTAGTGAGTCCTCTATTTATCGTATAAACAACGACAATAACAAAAAGTGGATGGATGAATCTGGATTCTGGAAATTTAAGTTAGTCTTATAGGCACTAAAACTACTCAAAGAACTGCTGCCGCGCGGTAGGTATGTAAAGTATGCCCAAAACGTGATGAGCATCCGCGGTATATCTGCACTCTTCTTTCTTTTTTTAAAGGCTTTGAATACATCTAATTTCCTTATAAAAAAAAAATAAAAAAAAATAAGTCAATTTAGTCAGAGCAGTGCGTTTACGTATGTAGCAGCAGGATACATTACTATAATATAAATAAATAAAGCAAACTACGAGTGAAAAATGTATTCATTAAAGAAATAATAATAATAATAATAATAAATATTCTGCGCGAAAGAACATAAAATGAGCTATTACGTTTGTTTGTTTGTTTTTTTTTTTTTTCGTCTGGCTCATGGCTCACCTTGCCACATAAAGAAAGATGGCAATTTTCTTTTGTGTGTTCGTAGAATCAATATTGTGCGCTCACGAGCATATTCAAATAAAAAAAGAGAAAACACAGATTTTTAAATTTATTCTTCCTTACTGTTGTAGATTAGCATAAAAACATTCAATTTTTGCTTACATTTCTTCTTTCATTCCAGAGCTTTCGGCATGGCAGAAAATGCAAAGTAAACAACCCCTTACCAAACCTGAACAATACACGTACACTCCACATATGAGAGGTATAATTACGAATATAAGCATAGAGCGTACAATATTCGGTCGTTTGTTCATGTTGTTTTGATTACCTTTTTTGTGTTCATACGCAGCATAATTTAAGTTAACATCGGCCTTCGTACATTATAAAAATTACGTGTATAAGAATTAAAAAATAAAAACAAACAGCATTGAAGGCCACATTATGAGGCAATATTATAATGAGTGGATTTATTGATCTAAAACATCTGACAAAGAGCAGAAAAGTAAGGCTTGTTCTGCATACCATATCAGCATAGTTCGACAAAGAAACGTGACAATGCGTGTTTTGTTTTTGTGGAAGCTATACAGTCTTTTTTCGCAATTATTAAAGATGGCGCGAACGAAAAAAAATAGTTATGTTGAATACCCAATGAATCTTACGCACTAGATATAATGTCGCGGTTTTAGATTGTCGGCAATATAGACTAATTGCTAAACAATCTTTTTTTTAAAGATATTTCTGAAAATAGTTTGGTCTCCTTGTATTTTCATTCATTCTCATTAACAACATATTGCCAATTTACCTGCAGATATTAACTATATAGCAATGGCGGATATATTATATCACTCAAGACTTGAGCGCCTGCTACCGCTCAGCTCTGCAAAAATCCATCTTTGCTTAAAACCGCAATACCTTCAAGGCTTGCAAAAACTTGAAAGAGCTGCAATGTCAACTATGTCATGTGATACGACACTGTGGCCTCCAACCACCATCAACATTCAATCCCCTGAGTAAGTGCCACTAAACGCGATTCTTTTGATAGTTGTTCGATCAATCGCAATATTATGTCGCTTTGTCGCAGAGACCAGGAGCGAAAACTGCCACAATAATTATTGATCAACTCAAACAAGACTCAGCCCAACGTCACGAAGCCGCTGAAACGCTGCAGACGTCAAAACTTTTATAGTGGGCTCCGTGGTTTCACAAAGCATGAATGAGACTGTAAAAATCTACTTCGTCGCATAGCCTGTCCTTTAGATGTGATCGTGCGGGTATGACTTTGGAAAATAAAAATAAGAAGACTTGCCTGTGTTTTCTTGTAGAAGTAATAATACTATACTCCGTCTCACCCTACGATGGACTATAGACCTTTGCAAAAAGGGCGCTCTGGTCGCCGCCATTTTGCGAATCGAACGACCCCTATCAACCAGAAATTTCTGGCACCCGCCTGAGCTGTGGAAACCCGGTCAGCGTGACTCCCCACCTGCATTTTGCATTCGGAGTTCGCCGGCTTTTCTTGGAAGTTTTTACTTTATTCGCCTGTTTAGGATGCTTACCCTTTGTATGTTATCTTACACTGTGAGAACCAGGGAATACCAGGGCTCGTAGCCTGCTCGGTCTTCGCAGGAAACGAAGGAAAATAGCGAACGTCAAGCAGCCCGCGACGCAGGCAGTTCGACGTTCTTGGAGGATTATTTCCGTTGAGATAATCACCAAAAACCTTCCAGGCTGTGTTCCGGGTCTTCGCGAAAAATAGCTGATAGGGTCGGGTCCGGGGTGTGGGGACGGAATAGACACGTTCGTTCATTTGCTTTGAAGCTGTGAAAAGAAGGAGCTCTCTTCTACATGTTCCCCAAAACACGCCGGATTCCGTCCGATCGTCGTGAAGTGACTGTCGTCGACACTGTATATTGGATATGCTGTGTTATTTGAGACCTTTCTCAAATCCTGTTCGGATAACGCGGCACCGTGGGGTACGTACAATATATGTTGTTCGATTGATGAGACTCGTTGCAGTTCGGATATCCTGTGTGGTCAAATATTCTGACCTTAATAGATTGACACGGCTGAGTGTACGGTACCGCAAAACGATGAACATAAAATGAAAGAAACATTCCAGTTGCATTTGTTCTGTCGCACACGGACTCACCAAAACAGCTTTCATTTCTTTGTGTTTCTTCCCAAAAATAGAGCACTGCTTTCTTAAAGACTCCTATAAATTATGTTCGCCACAGAACACAAAATAAAAAAGAAAACGCGGCAATTCAGCCGCCACCAGTGTCCGGAATTGCGCCTACGCAGGCTGCCACAGCCCACTGACGAAAAACTCCACAGCTCAGCGCAGACGGGCAACACTGACGTACACTCTCAAAACCAGGGACGCGCGCTGTAAATCGCTTCGTTCGAGACTGCCGCTGGAAAGGTCTATAGGGCCCGAAGGCTGGCGGGCGGAGCACCACCTCAGAAAAGCTTGCATCCGCATAGCAAAAGAGTGTGCAGAAGAAATTCTGATACGCCGAGTACGAAGAGCACCAATCTTACGCGCATGGTTCTCTGTTGTTATAACACGTTATTTTATATTGGTGAAGTAAATGTAAATGATATTTAGTTTCATAAATATTCGTGCTATATTTCGCACACATCTCAACTGTTTTGAGAAGTTGGAGGGCGCGCAGGCAACACTGACGTAAAGTCGTTTCGCCTTAGTCATAACAATCCAATCCAATCTTTGTGTACGTTTTGTACGTACCAAAGTTAATAGACCACTCAGTTGAGAAACTCACCGTTGAAACCTGGGCCGCTGGCGTCCACCGAGACCGAGCTAAATACGACAACAGCGCCACTCTTTATCATTTGTCTGTACTGTGGTCACCTTGAGCTTTTAGAAAGTATGTTTTTGCGTAAAAACCAACGGAAAGAACTCTTTTTGTAGTAAACTTATTGGAGTTTAGTACAAAATGAAGGGCGCGTGATGTTTTCTAAAAGCTTTAGTTTGCAAGGTTTTGCGGCACGATTAGTATTGTTTTTATACAACCATGCCTCAGGGGTGATTTCAGGCAGCGCGTCCCGACCTATAGGCGCATCCTAACTTCGGTAGTAACTCGCGGCGCGTCCACTTGGGAGTCGGGGGTGGCATCCCCCACCATATCTGCTCGGCACCAAAATGGCCGATTAAAGCCAAAATAGAGGTCAGGTTCTGTTCCTCGAGTGGCCACTGCGGGAGAAACGGCGGCGTTGCGATCGCCATTTGTTCTGTTTTCGAATACAGATCGGTGCCACTTTTTAAGAGGAGTCTCTATGGCAGTTTACCAACTGAGTGGTTCTACTAACGTTGGTACGTACTACGTACGTTCCCGTGTCGAACACGCGACCACTCGATCAGACGCATCTTCGCCGTATCACGAGATCGTTCGGAGAGTGGCAGACTTAACGGGTGTAGGGTACGCCATAATCTTTATATGAAAAAAAAAACTTGTTGAAAAGAGTGCCTTAACTGGCGTGCCGTCAGTGCCTTCACCTATACGCACGAGACGGAAAAGGCCTCCGGCCACGCCAAGTGTGCTGGACTCGTTCCATCACCAGGCACTCCGGCTGAACCTGCATGGTTTCTTCCGGCGGAACGAGTGTCCGACGCTACTCAAAGCAGGTCCACATCTTTATGCCTCCGCTTATTTTATGCAATTTAACGAACTGCAAACTAAAAAAGATGAGGGAGTGGTGAAAAATACAGATATGATTACCCCGTGACATCTGAAATGGAATTCAACCGCCTCCCAAATGAGGCCACCGCTTGCATATATGTATAACGCTCGTGAATAAGGCCCAAATATTGCAGAATAAATTACGTTGGCGCATATTTGCTGTCTGTATAATAAAGGCTGCTGGCACCAAACGCGGCCAAGCAGGGGCGCCAGACTTAATATTGTCATAAAACAAAATGTAATCAGAATATGCTGATGTGTTCATTTCAGTGTGAAGTGCATACGCTGCATTTATAATGTGGAGTAGAGTATCCGAATATCCGGCAAATGCCTCCACAACTCTGTGGGCACGCTGACAAAATCCTTAATGACATTTGCACATAATTGCAGCACAATTTCGTCACTGACATGCCAAATCTCCGCCTTGCACGCAAAATTGTTTATGGTTTGTTGCCATGACAGGACATTTTTATTGCAACAACTAACTTAAGGGAACAATGTAATTGTTGGATGTTTTGTTATTAAATTAATTGCAGCATGTACACTGAAATAAAAATAACTTTAAAAAATAATTATTGCATTTCATTACAGATTGCTCAACAATAGAAGAAATTGGGCCCACTAAGTGGTTATAAAACAAAATTGACGTGTTTTTTTGTTGTTGTTTTTTTATTTGAAGAATTTTGTTTGGTCATGTTCGTCGTTCAGCCAGGTTCTGCGGCGAAGCAACATAACTGATGCAGGAGAAGTATTACCATTATCTATGCCGCACAGTGGCCGTATCGGTTGACCCTAGTTTTTTATAAAAATGAACTAATAAATAGAAAGATGCACGAAGGCATAGTGAAACAACAGGTCGATATTCTAATTTGCTTACACTTTGTAATGAGATGCTGAATTGCGATGAATAAGTCAATTCACAACTTTAGTGCTCGCTGTTTGATTTTCGAGGACACCAACGTTTTCTGAAAATCGCCGGTTGGAAAGTCTATTGTAATGACGCAGTAAAAGTGCAACAATATTCTCTTTACCTGTTTTCTTTAAAAAAAACTTAAAAATTAAGTACTTGAGAGATGTTTTGATGATCCATCCTAGACTGAGTAGGAAATTGTTTTTTTAGCCCCGCTAAGGGTATTCATTCACAGCATTTCACAATGTAGGCCTTAGGAACTAAACTACTTGCTACGGACCTTTGAATACGACATATTCAGGATAAGAGATAAGTGACAGATCCGTCTAGGTCATGAGATCTGTCTTCCGTAAAATCTAGAAAATGAAATTAAAGGGGGCAAGAGAATTGTGACCTCAGGCAAGCTTGTCGGAAGTGGAATGCGAAGCACCCGTTTTTTCAGGTCTTCGGCAGGGCTCAGTTCTCGGTCCTCTACTTTTCTTGTTCTATATTAACGACCTGCCATCACGTGTTTCTTCATGCATTCGTATGTTTGTGGATGATTGTGTTTTATATGGACGAATTTCAAGCACAACCCATTACATGAGTGTATAAGACGACCTCACTAAAATATCTGAGTGGTACTCGTCTTATACCCTTGTTACACGG